GAGTGGTGACGGAGCCGGGGACGTGGAGCTGCGACAGGCTCTGTCACCTCCCTCAGCCTCTGTCCCCGGCTCGTTCTTGTCACAGGAGTTCTAGCACAGTGCTGTGCTAGAACTCCTGTGTTGGAGGTGACAGGGACAATAATTTCATGTAATGAGCTAAACAAATGTTCTATAAAACTCGGTTTTGTTAAAATTTTGGAAATTGTTCTTCTGTTCACTGAGATACTGATTACAATCTTACTGTACATCTTACTCATTTACGCTGAGCACTCTATCTACATATACGGTATGGTATATGTATATATGGTATATAAGTATGGTCCAATTTTGGTGTGTTATTTTAAATGAATTTATTTTTATATTGGCTTAGAGTTAAAACTAATTAAAATGTCTAAAATAATGCATATAATTATTTAAAAAAATATAGAAAAAAGGTGGGAAAAGTAATGTTTGGTTACAGCCTGACAAATTCAGCTGTGGGATGTGCATTGTGGTGCCATCCGTTTCAATATTACACCTCCTGCCTGCAGTTTGATCCCCCGCACTCGAACGAGCGGCACTGCAAAGCCATGTGTTACAGTACGGTGGGATTGCAAAAAATTGTGCATGCAGTTTTATTCTGAAGTAAACTTTATGTTTGTAACACTCCATTTGTGTATTTTTGTTTAAATAAAAGATGGGATTTATTTAATTTTTTTAAATTCAAAACGTCTTTATTAAAACGTAGAATAACAAAACACAAATGGTACAGTAACGCAGTGAAATAACGTCTCAACAAAGAGAAAAAATAACATAAAATTGTCACAGTAATACACATAGCAAGTTACTGACAATACATCCACCGTATAACCATACATAGTAATATCACTCCATCCTAACCGCAACTCAATGATGGTTTGCCACGTCACTGGCACTGAGCAATGCAGTAATTATATAGGTGTAAGAGTATGTGCAGCCCCCTCCATGTCCGATCTTGAGTTGCCATTCAGCGGAGAAAGCGTAAGCTTGCGTTTTGGGGACAGTAGGGGGGCACACGTCAGCACCTTCCGAATAAGTAAGTTGTCACAGTTTATGAGACGGAGTACATACACAAATGGGTGGAAGGGAGGTGAAGGGTGGGATGTGGGAAGAAAACAGTAGGGGAAAGGGGGGAAACAGCATGAGGAAGGATAGGAGTGGTATACAGAGGTCAAAAAGGTAGAGAGCAGAAGAAAAAGAGGGCAAGTGAAAGATATGCTGTACAAGTATACAGGGCAAAGGTTATCTAGTGGAGGCTGGGTGTCCCCTCCCCCCCGGCCCCCACCAACACCTGCCCGGGAGATGCTACCGGAGAGGCGCAGCTCAACCCAACTCCAGGGGGTGAAGACATTATATGGGAGTAGGCCTCTGAATGTTGAAAGGCAAGCCAGGGGCCCCAGGTGGATCTGAATTTCTCCTCTGTGTTTTTAAGAGTGGAGGAAAGGTCCTCCATGCGGTAGATATCGTCAACTTTAGCAATCCACATGCGGAAGGAGGGGGGGTGAGGATCATTTCCACTGTAAAGGGACGCAGGCTGCATTCATTAGGTGTATCGCCAGGGAGGATTTGTATCAACGAATGGAGTACTCAAAGGTGTAGCAAGCAGGCCGCCGGGTTGTTTTTCACCTTAAGCATGGTCAGGTTCTCGACCTCCTCTATGACCTGGTCTCAAAAGGGGCGTAGTTTCGAACATGTCCAGAAAATATGGAGCAGTGTACCGGGGGCGGTGTGGCAGCGCCAACAAAAGGGTGAGGCCCGTGGGAATATAGAATGTAATAGGGTTGACACCCTGTACCACCTGGACACCACCTTATAACCAAGTTCCTGAGTTTTGCAAGCAATGGAGGATCTGCGGGCCAGAGAGCATATGCGGTCCTTTTGATCTTGGGTGAACTGCATTTCAAGATCCCTTTCCCTTGAAATAAGTATAGGAATTTCGGCAGAACGTTAATTTTTAGGGAGTTTACTCTACCAAACCAGGAGAGCGTAATTGAGCGCCATGCGAGCAGATCCTGTTTGTTTTTTTGAAGCAAGGGGACAAAATTAAGATCGAAAAGGGTCTTGTGGTCCGCAGAAAAGTGAGTACCCAGATACTGCAAGGAGCCATCAGCCCATTTAAAGGGGGATGTCGTGCGCAGTGTGTCAAGGTCTTGGGGGGACAAGGACACGTTCAGCGCTGCCGATTTCGTTAGGTTAATTTTAAAGTTGGATAGAGAGCCGTAAAGGGCAAACTCCTGCATTAAAACCGGGATGGAGATCATGGGCTGAGCGAGGAAAAAGATCAGGTCATCGGCAAAAGCTGCCAGTTTATGTTCCCCCAACTGGGACTTAACCAGACAGTGTATGGATGGCAGTGCTCTAATTCTGCAGAGAAAGAGTTCAAGCGTCACGAGAAATATGAGTGGCGAAAGTGGACAACCTTGTCTTTGTGCCATTTGTAATTGGAAAGAAGGTGGGAGTAGAGTGCCGAGATCCCCTTCTGCATTCCCTCCTCTAACCCCACATGGATCAGTGTGGTTTTAAGAAAGTGCCAGTCCACCCGATCAAACACTTTCTCCGCATCCGTGGAAAGTAGCATTAGTGGAATCGAGCGCGATCGGGCGGAGTGGATCACATTAAGGACCATGGAGGTGTTGTCCCGAGCCTCTCTGCCAGGGACAAAACCCACCTGGTCGGTGTGTATGAGAGCAGAAACATGAGGCAGAAGTCTGTTGGCTATCATTTTAGCAAAGAGTTTCAGGTCCAAATTCAGTAAGGATATTGGTCGATAGTTGTGGCATTGAGACTGGTCTTTGTCGGGTTTCGGGATCACCGCAATGTGTGCACGTAGCGAGTCAAGAGCTAAATGGGAGTCCGAAAGGATAGCATTATAGGCTGCAAGAAAGTGAGAGGACAGAATGTGGGAGAACCTTCTATAATAGGGCAAGGTAGAGCCGTCCGGTCCCGGTGCTTTACCCATTTTAGAGTGTTTGAGTGCAAGGTTCAACTCCCCGCTAAACGGCCTTTCCAGCAGGTCACTGTCTGACCGGGAGAGAGACGGCATTCCAGAGTCTGTAATATACGAAAGCTGCGCATCAGCCATCTGCTCTCTACGGTCCCCATGTGGCCCCGTGAGGTTATATATCTTCATAGTAAGTTTGAAATTCTGCCACCATCTCCGATAAAGAGTGAAGCCTACGCACCCCACTGGAAGTCAGGTATGGAATATAAGTCTTAGATCGGGGACCCATAAGAGCCGTTGCCAGTAATCTACCCGGTTTGTTGGAGAACACGTACATCGACCGCTTCCCATTTAAAAGGCGTCTCCAAACCTGAGAAAATAAAAGGTGGTTTAGTTCCAGTCGAACCTGGAGAAGTTCCTGCTGGTGAGCCAGTGCTAGGGTACTTATGAAGCGTCTCCAAGTTATGGAGTTTGGTGAAAAGCCGCGTAAGAGCGAGCGCCGTTTCGCGTTTCCGTCGCGCCCCATGTTTGATCAGCACTCCTCGGATAACACATTTATGGGCTTCCCACAGGACAGGCGGGGTCATCGAGGTTGTGGCATTTTCCCGGAAATAGTTTCTTAATGAGGTTTCCAGATCTGCAGCGATCACTGGGTCTTGTAAGAGAGATTCATTGAGGCGCCAGGAAGATGACCGGGTCGAGGTCCATAAGAATATGGATTGGGGCATGGTCGGAGAACAAGATATTGCCAATCGAGGCACTGCAGATCAAGGTGAAGTCCGAATGTCGCACAAAGAAATACTCAATTCGTGAATAGGTACAATGTACCAGGGAGCAGTGGTGTATTTAACTTTGGTGCTGCCCTAGGCAAGGCAGCAACGCCGCCGCCCCCCCCCCCGACTGACCCTGCGCTTCTCCGACAGCACAATACCCCCCCCAACATAAACTTGAGGTCCCCGCACAGAATCACCAATCCTTCCTCGCAGTCCAGGATCAATGGTACGACTCGACATAAAAAGGACAGCTGGTCTGA